CGACTTAATTCGGTACTCCTACGGAGTACAATTAACGCTATGATTGTACTCCTCTCGACCAATCAGAGTCGAGTAATTTTGTTTAATGTTCTATAAGTAAAGAAATTTTCGTTTCTTGAAAAAAAGTTCGAATTTTTGATTCGCGCGGGCAACATTCTTGCACTATTTGATATCGATCAAAGCCGAGAACTGAATATACTACTAGAGTTTATGTTATGAGAAAGAAAATGATTATTTTTACAGACAAACTTATCTCATAACTTACTATTACTTATCTCATAAAAACGTGATAAAGAATGATCAATTACCTATATAAAAATATCGATAAAAGATTTCAGCAAGGCTACCATCACGCACAAGTTTAGATATTGGTATGCATTGAATTCACAAGTAATCCTCTTAGCTCCTCCCATAGCATTTGTACCTTTGGTTACGCCCTACACACTTTGTACCCCTTTGTTTAGTTATTTTAGCACTGTATGATAGCTTGTTTTCAAAAAGAAGTAGGAAACTCCAAACTGGACTGAGCTGTCATCATGATTCAACTCAGTAACACTGCACTTTATTACTGCTGGTATTGAAAGAAGCATTAAGTCCTGTTCACACGGGCAATTTTTGAGGCGATTTGAGGTGCGTTTTTTTCGGAGATTTTCACGGCGACGCAAAATCGCCCGTGTGAACACCCGGCGATTTTAGTACGATTCTTTCTGTAGTTGTGCTGCGATTTTCTGCGATTTTCTCGGCGATTTATGAAACGCAATCAGTTGTAGCAGCGGTCGTAACCATTACGCATGCGTAGTAAAATTTTGTTTCAATTATTTTAAAATTGTAAACACATATGTGCAAAGCCGAGAAATTTCAGTGTTTTGGAGCCTTGATTTGCTATGAATACTGATGAATCTGACCCTGCCATAGCCTGTTTGTGTACAGATATTGTCTTAGCGGTTCGCCGGCAGAGGAAGAGGAGAAAACCTTGAACAATTTTTTGAGCTGCGTTTAAGCGAAATCGATCCGCTTTTCCAAAAACAAGACACTTGTATTGAAAAGACAGTCGTACTTGTACCACTGGCTGATCAGAATTTCTTCTTCTTCACTTTTCCATTGCCTTTTTGCTCTTTATTCTGCCTGTAACTTTTTGGCTGTCATGTGTTTTTGTGACGTAACGTCACATACAAAACTGCTTGGGGGGAACCCCTAATGCTTGTTTTATTGGCCCTTTTTCCATGAAAATCGCAGCCAAATCGTAGTGAAATTTGAACATGTTCGAAACAGCTGCGATTTCGCGGCGACGTGAATTTCTAGAATCGGAATAAAATCTACGTGTGTTCACAAGCGCGATTTTGCGTTGCCGTGAAAATCGCCGAAAAAATCGCAACTCAAATCGCCGAAAAAAACGAGCTTTTTATAGAATTGTTGGATAACATGGATAAAGCAATGGAAAAGTACTATACTACCTATATGATTGGATCGAAAAAGAAGTCATCAGTTTCAAGGAAGAAGAAAAAAAAAAMCATAAGAAAAAAGCGGAACGCAAATCTTCGGCAACAGAACAGGGAAAAAAAGGGTATGTGTTATATTTAATACCTTAGGAGGAAATCATTCAGCAAATGAATAAAACCCTGAGATATATGGCATCCGACAATAATAGTGTTTGATATTAGTGGATTTTGCAGAGGTTTTATCGGCGTTCAGCTCGAGAAAACAAAAAAAGAGCCCAAAAACTAAAACCACAAAATTAAAGAATGACCTTTCAGGAATATGTGACGAAAAAAATTGGAAGTTTTGAGGTAATAACACATATATTATTATTCTGGCTGATCTTGCGCTTGTAGTAGGCTTTAATACCATAGAGTGGCAAGTATTATAGTGTTATGTGGTCTACAAAAATTAGGAAAAATGCAATCGAAATTGCTTTTCGATTTAGAAAACACTAATGTATGTAGCTGAACCTTTGGATTTTTTCAAAAGCCTCACGAATTTCCAGGAGAGTCAACCAAAATCGCTCCAATTTAGAGTTCAATCCCTGCGAAAATTTGCCTATTTTGACTAAAGCGGTTTTTCGACGAAACTAACCTTATTTGCGTCTATTTGTTAGCTAGCACTATCGATCCACAAAATATAAGCAAAATCGATTTTTAGACTGTGTCCGCGATTTTTCGAATTTTGCTCGATTTTTATTGACATTCAATCATGAATGCTTGATATCATTATTCTTTAACTTCTTCATAGACGAAAGGGCTTAATAATCCATGGGGGGTTCACTTGATTACATTACCCAATGGCATTCAAGTATAGTGACATCTCCTCGGTTTGATATAATAATTCAGTAGAGTTCTTTCGAACCCTTTGTTTTTTGCATGTGAAATACAAAGGGCAAAATTTCGCACTTGTAATTCAGACTAAGTATTGTATTTGTATGCATGTCGAATTTGTATAAACTAGGAAAATATCTTTATTGATTRTGAACTTACTGAAAACATTAACCAAATATGTGATAGTTTATGAACCCGACCCAATTGAGCTATTAAAGATTTCTCAGTTGATGAATAAGACGTTGTCTTCTATTTGTAAGGGCCATCACTAAGTTAGTAACTGCACACAGTCTATAACGCCTATGTCGAAAACGACTGAACACGCATCGATATATCTTGAGATCATGAATTCTATGTTCAACCCGCACTCGATAACAAGACAGTAGCTGGTTGTATATTTGCATCGCTGCATTGCGTCTTCTCCCACCTCGCCTAGACAACGGCACAAGAAGTGGGTACCCCATTGGGTATCCACTGTCAGCCATTATGTAGCTGTTTCTTGGAAGACGAAGAGGGCAGTTATATCCCATTATTCCTGCTTGACCATACCTGAAAACCCCATTACAATCTATTATCACCTACCAGTTTATGAAATGGAATTCACGATCTCTCGTATAGTACATTCGCTGTAAGTTTCCTTGTGGCCTATTAATGCAAATGGGAGTGGCATCCATTATCCCAACAACATTTGGGAAGTCAGAAAAGGTATTGCGCAGACTGTTCCAAGATTGTTGAGTATTCCATCTCACATAAAGCCTCTCATAATGCGATAGAACTATCAAAAAGACGGTGTGTRTAGTCTCTGCTACAGTGGTCCTACTTACACCAAACATGATTCCTAGAGAAGAAAATGTCAGATATGAACGAAGCCAAATGAATAGCATTGAGATCCAATCTCTCAAGCTAAGCACAGGTGGTCTAGTTTCTCTTATTATTTGCCTTGGTTGCCTAGGATTACGAATACACATTGCCACATATCGTGCAACTCGGTTGATTATACTGGCTAAGTTCATGGTTGTTTCCCCAGCCAGCGAGACATCAATTTTAATAAACATAGAATTCAATAGCAAATTAACTGGGCCAACTTTAGCATCAGGACCCAAATTACTTCCTTCGGCTTTAGTGATTTTAGATTTGACGTAAAGCTGAGTCTATAGGACCATTGTGGCTGATGTTAGAAATAGGATGATAGTCTACAAAGCGTCCCGCTTTCAGACCTGTTTGCCTTGGTGGTACGTAAAATAAATCAAGTTCTGATTTTGAGCATTCTGATGAATCGTGATGAACAAAAGCCATGGCTCCAATCATCCGAAAATATCGTTTATCTTTTCTTGGGTTTTTTCGAGCTCCATTTTTTAGGAGCAGTTGTTTTCCTTCTCTTGGTCTTGGAGTGACTGGCACTCTTCGAAGAATCACGACGTTTTATACCCTTTCCACTCTGTCCCACCACACATCGCGTACAATTGCACTCAAAACTAGGTCATGACCGCCTTATAGTTGCGTCATAGTTTAACAAGTCCGGAATCGCTTTAGTCCTTGATCTTGTATAAATGTTTTCAACATTTTTTCGTCCGGCATTAAATATGCCATGATTATCCGCGCCAAAAGCAACTTTCAAGATTTCCCGCGAACAATTTTGGTCCAAGGCTTCGCGCGTTTTGCTTCCTTGACTGCAAACCTCAAAACGGGGTTCGCTCGGGTTAAAAAAGTGCGTCTTCAATAGTAACTGGTGACTAAGAGCGTTGTTTCTAAGGCAACGAGAACCTGGCTACTCAATATGGTGGTCGAAGTATGATAACGATTGTAAATGATTGAAATACATGAAGATATAGAAATATAGACTTAACTTAACTTAACTT